CTACTCAAGGTATATGTACATATACCTACTTCATGAAAAGTCTGAAGCCTTGCAGGCGTTTAAGATTTTCAAGGTAGAAGTAGAAAAGCAGATCGGAGACATAATAAAATTGGTCCGGTTTTATAGAGAAGGAGAGTATTATGGGAGGCATACGGACTTGGGACAAAGTCCGGGACCCTTTGTGTTGTTCTAAAGAGAACATGAAATAGTCGTACAATACACCATGCCCGGATCACTAGATCAAAATGGTGTAACTGAGAGAAGAAACATAACCCTTATGGACATGGTGAGGAGCAGGATGAGTGACTCCATCTTGCCCATAAGCTTGTGGGGAGAAGCTCTGAAAACCACGGTATACGTATTAAATAGAGTACCAACTAAATTGGTACCAAAAACTCCATTTAAGTTATGGGTTGGAAAGAAACCTAGTTTAAATCACGTACACATTTGGGGTTGCAAAGATGAACTAAGGGTATACAACCCATAGTTAGGGAAATTATACCCTACAACCATTAGCGTACATTTTGTAGGGTACGTTGAAAGATCCAAAGGGCTCAGGTTCTATTGTCCAAATAATTCCCCAAGAATTGTAGAAGCAAGAAATGCAAAGTTTTTAAAGGACCTCTTGGAGAAAAGGGAGAATCTCCAAAGCATTGATATTAGAGAAGTTCAAAACACTTATAGGCCTCTCAACATTGTTCAGCCTATAAACTCTGTTGTAGTACAAGAAGAACAACCGTCAATAGAACAAACTACTGAAGTGGAGGCAATAGTTGCTCATCAAGAAGAACTTACGGAGGAAATACCATCAGTTGTAGTGAGCACAGAGGCGTTGATGCTTCTTAGGAGATCAACTCGAATTAGAAAAAGCACCGCATGCATCCTCCGATTATGCATACCTTCAAGAAACTGAGTTTAATTTGGGTCCTTTTATAGACCTGGTCACAGTCAGAGAAGCCATGGAAAGTTGTAACTCCGCACTTTGGCTTAAAGCCATGAAAAGTGAAATTGACTCCATGGTCACTAATGTTGTATAGGATGTAGTACCACTACTGATAGGTGCCAAAACAATTCCATGCAAGTGGATATTTAAGACTAAAAGGGCACCTAATGGTGAAATTGAGAGGTACAAAGCAAGACTAGTGGCCAAAGGGTACAATACTGAAAAAGGAGTTGACTACAATGAGACTTTTTCTCCAATCTCTAAAAAAGATTCATTCAAAATAATCATGACATTAGTAGCTCAATATGACATGGAGCTACATCAAATGGATGTGAAAACAACCTTTCTGAATGGTGAGCTAGAAGAAGAAATGTACATGGAACAACCCGAAGGATTTAAAGCCGAGGGTAGGGAACATATGGTTTGTAGATTAAAGAAGGCAATCTATGGATTGAAAAAGGCCTCCCGCCAATGGTACTACAAGTTCTACAATGTAATTACATCCTTCAGATACAAAGAAAATGCAATGGATCAATATATATACCACAAGGTCAGTGGAAGTAGTTTCGTCCTACTGGTGTTATATGTTGATGACATCTTGTTAGCCAGTAGGGACATAAGCTTGTTGCACCAGACAAAAGAATTTCTGAAACAAAAATTTAACATGAAGGACATGGGAGAAGCTTCTTATGTCCTAGGAATTGAGATCCTAAGAGATAGAGCCTGTAAAATTTTGGGGTTATCCCAAAAGGCCTACATTCAAAGGGTCTTAGAACGCTTTGGGATGGAAAACTGTACATCAAGTGTAGTTCCCATTCACAAAGGATATAAGCTTAGTAGTGAAAGTTGTCCTAAAACTGAATATGAAAAGGAGGACATGGATAAAGTTCCTTATGCACCAACCGTTGGCAACCTTATGTATGCACAGGTTTGCACAAGACCTGACATTGTGTTTGTAGTGGGAGTACTGGGTAGCTTTCAAAGCAACCCAAGTAGGGAACATTGGAAATATGTTAAAAAAGTGCTCAGGTATCTGCAAGGAACCAAATAGTATGTTCTCACATACAAGAAAGGGGACAAATTGAATCTATGTGGATACACTGATTCAGATTATGGTGGTTGCCCAGACACCAGAAAGCCCACATCAGGGTATATATTTCTACTTGCTGGAGGAGAGATTTCTTGGAGGAGCAGCAAGCAAAAGTTGAGAGCGTCCTCCACGATGGAAGCAAAATTCATTGGGTGCCATGATGCTACATCACATGCAATGTGGCTGAAAAACTTTATTATCGGCCTGGGTGCCCTTGTATTGGACTATGTAGATAAACCAATACAACTTTACTACGATAATGTAACAGTTGTGTTTTTCTCTAGAAATAACAAGAGCAGTAACCAAAGCAAGTACATAGATTTGAAGTACTTCGTAGTAAGGGACAGAATACAAGAAGGCAAGATAGACATCCAATATACCAAAATTGACAAAATGTTAGCAGACCCCATGACTAAGGGGTTGCCCCCAGTGATTTATCAAAACCATGTGCAAAACATGGGTATTATCAGTTCGTTGGATGAATGCAGTTTAATTCCATGACACATGTTGGTGCCTCCTATATTTGCAGATGTCTCGTGAACTGTCGTATTGTGCACATATATGAGATGACATGCTATAAATAGGAAATACAACAAAGTCCATACACTGAGAGTTGTGATGCATAATTGTATAATACATGGAAAGAAACTTGGATGATCCAAGGGTACCGCCATGATTTACATTATGCTAGCAATTACCTAAGTGGTTTGGTTCAAAGTGTATACTTACACATTCATTGGCCTTGATCAAGCCAATTGTTAGTATATATATACATGTAACTTTCTCTATGGCCACCTTTCGAGCCAAGTGGGAGATTGTTAGAAAAATTACCCATTGGGTAGGACCTAGATTGTGACCCATCATGGTGGCCACAATCCAGATTGAATTGCTCCAAATCCAATCACCCTAATTAAAGCTCATTTATGAGGGTATTGGATTTAAACAATTTCCTAATAAAACAGCTCCAAAAATTAAGGGATTTATGAGATTCAAATTTAAATTTTAAATGTCCCATTTACAATTTTGGAAAACATGGGACTGATTGATTGACAGAAATTATGGGAATTGAATTCCCTCTAATTAGGAAAGATCTTTAATAGGAAGATTGCCTAAGAGAATGACTAGAGATAGGACCCATCTCCCCTAGGCGTGTGATCCCTCTTGGCTTTTCTCTTTCAAGCTCCACTCTCATTCAACTCTCCCATGAAAGAGAAAAAGAGTGCTCCCTATCAGCATTGAACTAAAGAGTTAACACACAAGAGAGATCGAATAGAGTTCTAAGGGGATATTACAGTTTTCGTGAATCACCAACTATAATTGGTGAGCTTGACTGTATCAATCCGAAGCAAGGAATCAAAGACTGACGGGGTTCGATTCAAGGAAGAAGAAAGAAGATTCGATCAAATTTAAGGAGATCCTTGCACAGAGGTTATGGCGATTGGAGGTAAAATTTTATTAAATACTGTTCATTTATCTGTCTACTAGACATCAGCCCCTAAATTGGGGCCCTGCTTAACGTTGAATGCATGCAGTTAGCCACACAGCTCGATCTATCTTAGTTTGGATGGTTTCCTAAGCTAATGCTATATCTGTATATTGATATAGCTGTGTGGCTAGTCTAACTTCATAATTTTGAATCCAACCCAAACCATTGCAATCCATTGAATCCATTGATCTGTCTTATGTTTGCACTCTACTGTTGTCTGATGTTTGCACTCTGCTGTTCACATCAATCCCCATTTGCAACAGGGCCAGGGAGTTTGTCTCATACTTCAATAAGTCGTTTAGTTTAGCCAGTTCAGCTCTGCCTGGCTTTTATTTTTTATAATTATTAATTAATCTGTTATTTTTTATATTTGTTTAATGGCAGGAGTAGTTGGAACACTATTTGTATTGATGAAAATGCCAAACATCCACAAAAATTGTATTCTTATTTGCATCTTTGAAAACAAATGAGCTGAGTGCAAAGTAGGTGTGTAAATCTTGAACCACTTTGCACTCATATGAATTAGATATTTTTGTTTTGCACTCTATAAATTTGTATTTACACTCAGCCTAAGGAGTAAATCCGAAAGTTGATGGTACTGTGGTATGCATATATTCTGACTCTCTTAATTTTATTTTGGCTTTAAAGGGGCTGGAAGTTTCTGTTCTATGGTCTTATTGGTGGTTGATGCATTGGGAATATCTCCCTGCAAATAAAAACATAGAAGTATGAAGATGTTTCTAATGCACGGCTGCCAAAGGCTAAAGGCTGTGAGGACAGTTTTGTAAGGGCGAAATCCAAACTTGGCTTGTATAGGTTTTTTACCTTTTCCTTCCTTCCCTTGGCTTTTCTTTTAAATCAAACACAGTCTTAGATCTGTTCACGCGTTGGCTTAACGGGCTAAAAATTTTTGGGGTTTTTATTGTTCAGTCCACAGCAGAAATCTGAGCCCCATCGTATAGGTGGGATGAATCCTAACCATGGATCGATGCCAAATCCATGGGCATGATGCAATTTATAGGTGGGGGGCTACTAGTAAACTAGGAAGGGGGCTGTAATTTCAAATTTCTGAGGTGAACTAAACAATAAAAACCCCAAAAATAAAAGGAAAAATCTATGATGCCGGAAAGACAAAATGGTTTAAACTAGTCTGCCAGAATTTTCAACCCACGGTCGAACCGATAGTTGGATCAGTTTGATCTCTCACCCAACCAGAATTTTAGGTCTATTTCACTATTGAACCATTTGCCTGCACAAATTTGTGATTTTAGTTAGTGATCCAGCGACCTGGTCAGTGGGTCGTGGGTCAAATGGATACCGTTTACGGCCCTACCAGGTTAGGATGGGATAAGATGGGCCGGGTATGGTTTATGTCCTGAGTTAAGCTTAGGCCCGGCCCGATAAATTGCCACCCCAATGCCAATTGACCAACATAAATACCATTTAAAATCTCCAATATTACGAAATTACCTTGTCGATCCCAAGCTTGAAACGAGCAGCACGGGTTTTACAACTGAGCACACGAAGCGAAGAAGATGCTCCCACCCTCCTACTCTTCCGTTCCTTCAGCGAACTCTCTGTACAATTCATCCTCTTTCTACCTCTTGCATCGGAGCCCTAGAGCTTCCACTTCTAGATTCTTTAGAGTCCTCAATTGTTCCTTTTCTTCAACCGGAGAGTCGGCTTCTGATTATCAGTCTTCGGAACCTCAAAACCGGAGGGGCAATTTCGCCGGCGTATGTTTAGAAGACACTGTCGAGATTAGTTCAGTAAAGTCGAGGATCGATTCCTGGATTTCCTCTCGCATCCCTGGTATCAGTAGAGCTCGCGTTCAATCCAGTATAAAATCGGGGCTCGTTAGCGTTAATGGCCGGATAATCGATAAGGTAACCAATGTAGACCCGTCTTGTACTCTCTGTTGGAGGATTTATATTTTGTTTTGGGTTATTTGAACCTCCTGCTTTACTTCTACCTGACGGAGCTGCATTTCTAGTAGTGGAGACCGGAGACCTGTCTGTTCCGACAGACTCGTGAAAGTTTAGTAATAATATTTATTTTGCGTAGACACGACGAGGAATAAGACATACATTAATGTGAAAGTTTCGATTTTATGAACGTTTTAAACACCTACGGTGGCTTATGTAAGGAAGCGATCTTCTGAGTTCAAATGCTCGGTTTTATGTAAATAAATCTGTTTTCTTCTGTTGGGTTTTGCATCTGGATTTCTGAATTGTACCATATTGGGTAATTCTATATATTTGAGCAGGTTTCACATGTTATCAGAGCGGGGGATAAAGTTAATTGCACGATTAAAGAGTTGCAGCCATTGAGGGCTGAACCAGAAGATATTCCTCTGGATATAGTTTATGAAGATGAGAGCGTTCTTGTTGTAAACAAACCTGCACATATGGTGATACTTTTACTCAACTTATCTGATCTGATCCATTTACATTTCGGATTTGAGCTTTTGTTTCTTTCTGTTTGACATTATTTGACCAACTTACTGATCGGAAGCTTGATTTAATTGAGAAATTATCCCAACTTCATACCATGTTTGGATACTTACGAAAATGTACCCCCAGAAAAGAAATAATAATAATATGTAAGTTTTATCATCATGTCCAAAAAAGCAAGTTTCAGGACACAGTTTAATTCCAACATTTAATAAGTGGATCCAGAAATCCAGTTCCACAAATTTGAGTGATTTGAAGTTGTCCTTTTTTCCTGTTTCTTGATGGTGGTTGTGGGAGGCATGGGGCATCATTTAAATCCCCCCAAAATTGATCAGGAATGGAATTCTCCACTCTTTTAACCCTCAATTTTCATGATGATCCAGATGCAGCCTTAACCAATAGAAAATGATTTCTCAATCTAGTGTTTTCCCTGATTTCTTTTCACCATTCCATTACATGATGTAGGTTGTTCATCCAGCACCAGGCAATGCTAATGGTACTCTTGTAAATGGCATTCTTCATCACTGCAGTCTTCCCATGGTTGCATTGACAAATAGCAAGGTTCTTTCTGAGACAGATGATATTTCTGATGATGAGTCAGATATCTTTTCTTCCACACAAGGTTCCATGGAAGAGGTAACTTCCAACATATGTGAAGTTTCTGTTCGTCCTGGCATAGTGCACAGACTGGACAAAGGAACTAGTGGATTGCTTGTTGTTGCAAAGGTGACTTCCAGCATATGGTAGTAAAATCTTATCTAATTTCAGGTTCTGCTTCTAGATTTGCAATCTGCTCACCAAATTTCTCTGTCATCTAAAACATTGTTTTCATCGTTATGGCAGGATGAGCATTCTCATGCTCATTTGTCTGAACAATTCAAACTACATACCATTAATAGGATATACTTAAGTCTCACTTGTGGTGTTCCATCCTTAAATTCTGGGCGTATCGAGGTCCCAATAGGTCGTGATTTAAGTAACCGGATTCGGATGGCTGCTGTGCCTAGCCCTAATAGCTCTAGACAGGCCCGTCATGCTGCTAGTAGGTGATTCATGCTTCTTTGTTCTTTTCTTTGGTATCATATTAGCAATAAAGAAAAACCAGTATTTATTGATGCACCTAGTTTGTTTGTCGGATGTTCTAAACATGATTTTAGAAGTATGCATACCTTGCAGTTGAGGTATTTTTTCTTATTATAAATGTGCTAAGAAGTAGAGGTCATATTTCCAACCGGATCAGGTGCTATTCTGCTAATTGGAAATCCAGGATTTATTTACTATTGATTATGCAAGTAGTTTCTCCAGCTAGTCACCACCTTGAAAGTGCATGGCCAATTATTTATTAGTTCTGTTGCCACATTGCAAATAATCCCTATTTTTGATAATTTGCAAACTTAAAATTTTATCTGATACAATAACTTGGCTTTGTTACCATCTGAATGGTGAACTCCTGGATTCTGTCATATGCAATTTAGCTTAGAATTTTAAAGCCAATACATCTTATAACCAAGGGATAATTGCAGAATATCATATTTGTCAAACTGATATGAGAGGCATTGGATTGCATAACATTGTATTATTTTGAAAAGTCTTTAATGTGATATTACATGGCCATCTATAATATTTTATTGACACTAATGATTGAACTATGCTGCTCTGATAAATGGAATGCATGCTCCTTGATAACATGTTTGAAAGACAAAAGAACCACTGTACACCCTTAATGTTATGTTAAATTTTGTCTTTGTCTCTGAAGCACACAACTTAAACAGAGCTAGGCGTACTTGCTTTGTAACTGATCTAGGCTCTCATGTCTAGAGAAAAAAAACCCTCCTTCATTGTCTTAAAGAATCAGCAAAAGGAGCAAAAAAACATAGGGTTTAGTTAGGACAGTAGCTTTCACGTTCCTTTACGTGAATTGGGCTATTGCTTCCTTGCTTGCCCTTCCCAACCCACCACCCCCATAAAGGGGATTCACCAAAGGGATTGCTTCATTTTCCAAGCTTCACTTTTCGGTATAGAGAATTGGCTTGAAATGTGGTCACCCTTTGGGTTCAGATAAGATCATTTCTTGTGGAAAAGAGATAACCTAAGGTGACCTCAGTGCAGAACCAGGTTTAAAATGTTAGTGTTGGCGTAGATATTGAACATCCAAATATATGAAGTATATGTTGAAAATGTCATATGGAAATATTGTAAAAAATATAGACATGGTGGAAACATTGTTGAATATGCAAAAATATAGAATGCTATTTTATGCAATGATAAAAGATGCACAGGTAGACCCTTTTAAATTGTTATCTTGTTCCAAACAATCAAACAAAGCTAAGAAACTAAGTTAAAAGGTGAAATAATAAGCTATGATGTTGTTCTGTAAAACTTTGAGTCAAAACTACATGATATAGTGAGTTCAAGCAAAATTTGAATTCATAGAAAGTGCAATGGTTCTAATAGATTTACCGACTAATTTAACAATAAAAACTAAAATTTAGCTATGTAGTTTCTTGTGATGATTGAGAGAGAGAGCGAGAGAGGTACGAATGATAGAAAGGAAAGGCAAAAACTCAGTATTGGCAACTGCCAGTTTTCTATTTATATTAATCTTTATAAAAAAGGCAAAATTACAAGTATGCCCCTGGTGGCATATCCTAGAATAAGAACAATAAGAAAAGAAAGAAAGAAAGGACTAGTAACTGAAACTGTTCCACTAACATCAATTACAAGGAACACTCAAGCCTTACAACACTCCCCCTCAAGTTGGGCTGAAATGTCTATCATGCCCAGCTTGTCACATAGCTCATTGTGCCTCRAACACGGAARTCCTTTTGTGAGGACATCAGCAAGTTGTTCCTTGGTGTTGACATAAGGGATACAAATTTCCCTTTTTTCCAGTTTTTCTCTTATGAAGTGCTTATTCACCTCAATATGCTTAGTCCTCTCATGTAGTACCGGGTTGCTGGCGATGTTTATTGCAGCCTTGTTGTCAGAATAAAGAGACATAGGATTATGAACAACAACTCCAAGCTCACCTAGGAGGTTCTTTAGCCAAAGGACTTCAGCCACCCCATGTGCCATAGCTCTACTCAGCTTCTGCACTTGATCTTGCTACCACACTTTGCTTCTTGCTCTTCTAGGTCACCAGATTTCCTCCCACAAATGTGCAATACCCACTAGTGGACTTTCTATCATCCACTGCTCCTGCCCAATCAGCATCTGTAAAGACTTCCACCTTCAGGTGATTGTGTTTACTAAGTAGTAACCCTGTTCCTGGATGTTTCTTCAGGTATCTAAGGACTCTCTTTGCTGCCTCCATGTGTGGCTTCTTAAGAGAGTGCATAAACTAGCTTAGACTCAAAGGACACATCCATAGACACAAAATATTTACGACTGACTGGATCAAAACACCGATACCCCTTTTGAGAGGATGGGTACCCTAGGAAGACACAAGGAATGGACCGAGGGTCTAACTTACCTCTGGATGGAGACAAATCGTGGACAAAGGCCCGACAACCAAAGACTCTCATGGGGATGGAAAATAAAGGTGATTGATGGTACAGTAACTGATTAGGGGCCATGTAATTTAATACTCTAGAGGGCATGCGGTTGATGACATACACAGTTGTAAGACTCTCATGTGGAACATCATCACGCGGGCTATCTCAAGGAGGTGTCTGTTTTTTCTTTCTGCAACCCCATTTTGTTGTGGTGTTCTGGATGAGCTTCTATGAATAGACCCATGGGAGGCGAAGAACTCATTTAGCTCCCCATGGAAGTATTCCTTCGCATTATTGGATTGGAAGATCTGTATTTCAACATGGAACTGTGTAAACACCATCCTCTGGAAGTCTTGCACAATCTTTGGAACCTCGTCTCTGCTATGCATAGGGATTACCCATGTATAGCGAGAGTAATCATCAATCAGTGTAATAAAATATTGATATCCACCCTCAGAGGTTACATTTGTAGGCCCCCATACATTAGAATACACAATATGAAAAGGAACATTTGATCTTTTATTGTTGGAATGAAAGGTTGGTCTACATTGTTTACTCAACTGACACGTTTGACACATGAACTCTGACACTGAACACGACTTAAATAAAAGTGGAAACAAACATTTTATTACTTCAAAAGAAACATGACCTAAACGACTGTGCCACAACAAAAKTTGACTCTTATTTGACTGACTATGTGACTCTGAGGATGACACAGAAAGACCAGCTTTGTTGTCGAGAATGTAGAGACCGTCCACCAGGCTTCCTCTACCAATCGTCCTCCTAGAAGTTAGGTCCTGAAAAACACATGAATCAGCAAAAAAGGTTACACTACAGTTTAAAGAACTTGTAATGCTACTAATTGAAAGCAAATTTATGGGAAGTTGAGGGACATGCAAHACACAATTCAGGTTAAGGCCATGGGGAAGGGATATCGATCCTTGACCTGCAATGGAAGAGAAGGAACCATTTGCAAGTCTCACTCTATCCTTTCCTGACAAAAGGCTATAAGAATGGAATAGGTTAGGCTTACCGGTCATGTGATTTGAGGCCCTTGAATCAATAATCCAAGGGGAATCTGTGGGAGTGACATGGAATGCAGAAGCCACATTACCTGAAGTGGATGCAAAGGAGGTAGAGGGAGTACTAGTGACTGAGCTATCCACTTGCCGCAATGCCCTACCATAAGATTCTAGATGCTCCCTGAATGAAATCATTATATCCTCCTTGGGGTCAGGTTTATTAGGACAGTCCCGGGTACTACCGGCAACCTGAGTGTCTTGGGTTGCCACATGTGCTGCACTCGTTCTTTTCACGTGACCTTTACCCTGTTCTTAATTCTTTGCTGCCCACTTGGGTTTCCCGTGGATGTCCCAACAGGTGTCACGTGTATGTCGTGACCTTCTACATTGGGTACAAAAGAGTTTATCTTTATCATCTGCCTTCTTAGGATCACCTTTCTTCTCTGTTGGACTGTTATTCACCGCAGCCAAGGCAATTTGTTGCTCCCCCTCGGCTGTAACCATCACACTCCGCCTGCTTTCTTCAGATTGGACAAGGGAGTATACTTCATGTACTGTAGGCAATTCTTTGCTTCCTAGAATCTGCACCCTTAATGGTTCATATACAGGGTTCAGCCCTAACAAGAAAGCAAACACTCGTTGCTG